ATAAGCTGGCTTCAGACTATTTGAACCTGAATTCGCTCAGAAAAGGGGGAATAAAACCTGAGATCTAGGCAATTGAAACTGAGGGAAGTGACCATTTCCAGGAAGAAACAGATAAACGGTGGTATTGAGTCTGACAATTGCACATTTTCCAGGACTAATCTTACACTGACTGGGGTGTGCGATAGACTAACCTCCACGTGGTGCACCCTGGGGAACGTATATTCATACGGCAAAAAAGTCTATTAACTGGCAGTTGACTTCTCACTTCAAACTACCTTCATCTCACTCTATGCCATATTGGACTACTTCCACAGTACTCACCTCACCTTTTTTTCTACCTTTGTGTTTGCCTCTTACATCTTTGAAACACACTTCTGTTCCTCCCCCCTCCCGAATTCTTTCAATTTGATGTTCATTCCCCTCTGTGAAGACTGAAGTCAACTTAAAGGCTAATAATAACCATTAAGACGCTTGCCATTTGATATAATTATATCTTACACTCTGACTTCAATGTTTAAGTCTACTCAATTCCTTTTTTGACTCATCTTGGACGCCCCTTCCATTAACACAAGAGGACATTGTGTTTTTGCTTGTAGTAGCTAATAATCTGAAGAATTTACCTCAATTCTCCTTTGTTGCCCCATTGCCTCAATACAGGAGTACCGTAACTTCTGCACTCCCAAAGGACATGTGTTCGAGTCGGTGGTCATATTAGACAAAAATGAGAAACTTTCGGGAAAGGCTTCTAGATTCCTTCCTCCATACTATTTTTTAATGAAATACGCATTCCATAATCATTTGATCTTGCCAGTACTCAAAAGATGATTATAAAGATTATAAGTGTATAGATTACTGGCAATTTTCATTCATTAAATACAACGAAACCAGGAGTGTTTCATGACAAAATTGTTTTCTATTTTCAATTTTGTATCTGCGTTTAAAGTAGCCCTTCAAATTAAGTCACAGTGAGTGGCGATATCAATATGTGGCAAACATAAAAAAATTAAACAATCACGACACCTCAAACATAAGTGCTACCCACGTTTCGTGACTCAAAGTAAATCCAAACGAGTAGAAATTGCATAGGCATTCAAATGCATCAAACTTCTTAGAAAAATAATGCTTAAAAAGGTACTCACGGGTAGTAAAGTTGAAACCGAGCTTGATAAGTAGATTAGTAGTTATTGGAGCTCTACAATGCTAATTTCGATCTATCTGCAACGCCATAGTGAGTGTATCAATTTGGTGGTGTTGGCAAATTGAAACCACCAATCAAGTCATTAAGTAAGTAATACCTGATGTTGAGGTGGCTACCAAATCTCTCAAATCATATCTCAAGAAGCTGACACCTTTAAAATTACATTAAAAAGGATCGGACTGGCCAACGCTCTTTCTACTGCGTTACAAATTTCTTAATCTATTCAACGACCAGGATAAAATTGTAGAAATAAATCTCCTTCCAGAATTACAATAAAAGCTTGAAAGTCTGTTAACTGCGTTGCCAATATAACTGCTTGTGTCTGTCTTTATTGGAATGTGAGTTTATCTCAAGAAATGTTCCTCTTCAGAAAGTGTGGGGGGGGGGGGGTTTTGGATTGCAAGGGATATTGTATTTCTGCCTAGCGCAAACCTCACTTTTTAAATCTACTCTATTCCAACTGGCGAATTAAGGGTACAGAACATTCAATTCAGTAATTAGATCTCTATTATAATTATATTTTCACTTACTACTTATTCCTTAGCCCTCCAAGTGCCAATTTTTTCTACTCTGTTTTTCTCATCTTATTTTGCCGTCCAAATTCGCTTGTACACCCGCCTCTTTCATGAGAACGTCTGTTGTACCTTTTTTTGAATTCAAGTGAGACCATTAGTTTACCTAATTCTACCAAACTTCCTGAGTAGTCCTACCTGTGGTATTCAGTGCTGAATTAAAATCTAACTCTATTGGGTGGTGAAATTGCGAAAAAGAATTAATAACCAATAGATTCATTAATCAAATAAAAAGAAGGTTATTTTAAACTTTTAATTGTCAAATATAAAATCAATCTCCGTGTTGTTACAGGTAAAGGTTCAACTCATTAGGCCAATGAAGTGGATGCGTATTTAGAAATGAAGTCATGAAATTGAGCACACATTAAGCACACCTAAATTCACTTGATGAAACATGTGAGAGTCGCTGGAAGACAATCCAATAATAAATCTTGGCGCTTCATAATTTCTTAATCACATGAAGTAATGACAACGACTATGATGACCTAATTAACAAACACGCAAAAATCTGAGCAAATAAAGCGACTCAAATGGACTTACCGAGTTTGCCAAGAGCATTCGTACACACAGAAGGCAGTGAGTCGAATTGGGAATTTGCCAGGTTTCGGAATTTTCTTTATAGATCCCTCCTTAAACTTCGAAGTACCCAATCGTAGACGAAATGTTATTGGAGATATCTCAAAGAAGTTCATCTATGAAGTGAAATGAGATAAATAAATACATTCTAAAAAACGGGAAGAGTGAAAATTGTTTAAAATGACTTACAACTCCCTCCAAATATCGGAGAGGTTTGCAATTAACGATTGATTGAAGATATTCCTCAAGCAGTTTTTGGCGTTCTTTCATAGCCTCCTCAGGAACGTTTAGAGTCCATCGTTTTGGAAAAACAGAGAGGCGACGTTCCTTTATTGCTTCCTGATCGGTAGGATGATGGAAACCCGCCTTTACAGTTTCTCTAATCAATACGAATCAAATATAATTTTTCAAATAAAAGAAGAAGAAGGGAAAGTGGGTGCTTAAAGGAATAACACCTACGTTGCTCTTTTAACCTTGAGTTTCATTTGATCAAACTCGATTTCTCTATGCAATGCATATATATCATTGTACGTTTTCATGAGCTGCCATTCATATGGTCCATGAGTGACAGTGATCTCATATCGGCTGGGAACACGACCCGGGCCACTAGATGGTTCCTCGCTATCAATTGTTGATTGGTCCACAATGTGTTGAGAGAAACTCGGGCTCCGTACACGGTCTTTAAGATAATTGAATTTACTAGTCCAGTAAACTTGGGTGATTTTAATGTTTATTGGCACATTAGGTAAGTATACTTGTCCGGAGTCAAATGTCTCTCCGGCTGTAGGAAAATAACCATCTTGCTCATCAGTACTTTCATCCTCATCGTCCGAACTGCCTTCAAATGATAATTCAATACAAGTATTCATGGAGGGAAGACCTTCTGGAATACATAAAAATAAATTAAATACAATATTTTGAATTAATGTTAAATTAATAAAGTAAATTAAAAACTAGAATATACATTAAACCACATGAAAATATGGACATTTAAGAAAGAAAAAATAAGCGAAATCACATTTTAAGATATTAATAAAAGAAAAAAATTTAAAACAATCGATGACCCATTTAGTTAATTTAATTATTTGTTAATTACTTATTATATTGAGTCCACTTTAAAATGAGAGTTAGGATAAATAAATGGTGTCTACAATAAAAGCAATATATACGGTAAGGTATGATTAATTTAAGAAGTCGGAGGCGACTTGAATGACTTAAACAATGACAAATGGCCTTGAAAACAACACAAACATGAAAGCAAATTATAAATATTACTTCTTGATCTTTCAATGAAATTAATTTTTTAAATATTTATATTATGAAAAGTTTAGGATTAAAGATAGTGTCGTCAGACCAAAGCTTTATTTAGGCCATTTATAACTATATATGTTTGTCGAATGCATTTTGAAAAATCTAAAACAGTGTCAAAATATTCAATACTTTTTAAATTATTTAGAGCAAATTTGTTTATAATTTTAAAATGGGCTTGGTAATGTAGGTTAGATTAAATAAAATGCATATTTGCATTCTTTCAATTTGCCACTAAACAATTTACTGGATTTGATTTCCAGGAAATTTGTAATATTAAGGTAATTAGTATTTCGAGAAATTTATAATATCAATCTTAATTAATCATACATGTTTAAGACGTGCATTGAACATTAGTACTGTAGCGCGATCTGTAAATCAAATTCCCACTAATATGCATATTCTATTTCTCTCTCACAATATTGCAACAAAGTGTTAGAAACTGATAATTTCTTTTAGCACAGCACATTCTAATTTCAAACATAATAAGATTTCTTTTCCGAATGAAAATTTATAGTTTGTTGGTTCAAAGATAACCATAATTCAAATTTATTATATTCATCCTATTTAAGAAATTTAATAAATATCAATTAATGGCAAAATTTCAGCCTTATACTGCTGGAACATGTATTCATGCAAAGCTTGAAAAATTGGCCAGATATCCTGATTTCACATACCCTATTTCCAATCATGACTGTCCAATTTTGATTTCATAAAACTATATTTCAGGGCGAGACTAATCCATTTCTAGTAATTTGGAATGGAAATGGAGTTGTCGTCGGAGTTAATAAATTTCAATAAAAGTAATAATCCAATGGTTAACATATCAGTTTTCAACTAAACCATTTTTATGTTTATTTGTTTGGAAAATTTCACTTATGGCAAACGGGAAAAATGAAAGCAAACCAATCTGTGAGTTTAAATTTTTCGATTTTTATTGGTTTACTCATGCTTGTTGTATCCGACAACCATATTCCTTTATTCGGTTAAAATGGGCTGATTACAATAATTTGTATTAGTGCTTGGTGATTGCAAAATTCTGTGACCGTGGATTGAAAGGAAAAATTTATTCACGAATTGATGTGATATAATAGTCTTGGCGACAGGTAAAACCGATCGCTTTAGCTATGATAATTAATTGTGGTAAACTAATTTGGGGTAGATGAATAATCTTCCAATTTATACCTAAATATCTCGTAAAAAGCGAAAAATTTTTTTACTGAAAAATCAATTAAGTTAACTTTACACCCATTTGCACCATTTACAAATAACAACGATCACGCAGTGTTTATAAATGAGGGATTAAATATCCCGAGGTTATTAGCACTGCAAAGCAAATGCGTTGATAGCCGTTCAATAAATTTCGAACAGCCCAAGAAAATTGAAAAATAAATATATTTAATTATTATTTTTTATTAACGGTTCGTTGAATATAAACAGAAATTATGTACCATATAGTTTTTAACAAGCTTTTATAGTTTCTCATCTTTGTTTCATTCACGCACCATATCACCGCTCTGTATGGTGTGTTGATTGTGTTTTCTTGTTTTGTACCCAGCTGTTGCAAAGTAATGCTTAGGTCGAAGTTATGTTCTAGTAGCCAAGGGGGCACGTTGTTTACATGCTGCATTGCGTACGAAGACCCGTCTGTAGGAGTTGTTTTATTCTTTCCTAATCTTATATTTAGGAAGGCAAAATTGACCGACGGCTTATTGGTCCTCCGACGGATTTCCGTCACCTTGCACATATGGGTTCTGGAGGAAGCACAAGTGTAGTAAGCTTAGTAAATATTATTTATGAGTCAATTAGTTAAACAAAATTCATTCTTTTTTTGTTTCTGTCATCTAGACTTCATCTATAATTAGTGGTGTTGGACTGGATGATTCCTCGTCGCCTTTAGCTCCCATAACCACTCATTTAAAATTAATTGATCTATCCGAAGCTCTCGCCGTTCATAATAGTTCTGCAGCAATGCATATTGTTGGTCGGAGTTCACAAAGTACCTCTGACTATTCTCCTCAACAGACAACCGTCAAGCAGAGAATTTCGGATTCTAGCTCTCGGGAACGTCGAAAATCGTCTTCTGCCTCACGATTTCTCATAAATGGACCTCTTCCGCCGCCCCCACCGCCTCCGCCATCCGCTCTTATTACTTGAGTATCCATTCTTTCATTTTGGTCCTTTGCATTCCCATGTATATACGGTCTTGCCTGTCATATGCATTCGGCCATGTGTATCATCACGTAACATGTCTCTATTTATTTGGGTTTTATTTAAGTTATGAGAATTTTATTATTATTAGAATTCATTGTTGTCTTTTAATTATCATTGTTTTTACTTCTAATTGGTGTTGTTATTAAAACATTGTCATTGGCTTCAGTAGGGGACTCATAGATACTTAACCTTAGAATTGTTTCATTCTCAATGTTTTCTATGTTTGATTAATATTTTCATTAAAACCTTGTTCTTTGACAGCTCAATTCGATGCTACAAATATTCTTTGTTTTAAAACACTTTCATTTGTTATGTACCATGTTCCTGCTTGTAGTAATTAAGTATTTGCAAGATCTTTGGTTTAGCATCTTGTTTTAACAGCGCCTTTAGCTCGTTTTGAAAAATGATTTTCCATTTTTTTATTTTAACCGACTGCGAGGCTTTTATTCCCCTTCATTTTAATATACCCCCCCCCTTTTCCTTTTTGTGTTCCACGATGACTCATTGGAAGGTTCGGCAGATTAGTTTAATGTGGTACGCGGCTGTTGACAGTGTCAAAACGATGGTAACTCCGCCATGTTCTCTCGGATTTGTGGTGTTTATAGGTATTACGCTTATTTATCATTCTGTGAGCCGATTATTATCAAAGATAATCGCTCTCTTTTTGGTGTTTATAGCTTTACTGATTGATTACGTGAGCCATTGGCCTCATATTGCGTTTCTTTTCTTAATGTATATGTGCGCACCTACCCCGTCTTGTGCATAATCGACAAAACGGCGAAATTATACAACTGAGATTCGAAGTATTTCACCTCAATTAGTCACGGCAAATGTGCTGAACTGATACATTCTGTTGACTCAAGTGGAAGTAATCCTTATATACCAATCCATTTCTCAAACAAATTCACTTTCGCTTAATTTTTGAAGTTTATTCTAACAGTTCGATCTATAATCCAGTGATAGTCTGCGTATATAAAGTTCTAAAAATCTTAAATTGTTAATTGACCTTTCTAATAAGGTCAAGCATGATCTTTTTGTCTTCTAAATTCAAGAATTTATGTAACGTTATTGTGTTTATTACACACCTGAGATAATCAATAACCTTGTACCTGAGGCAGACGTCTGTTACCGTAATGAATTTTTTCAAGGCCATTCATAAAAAATGCCAATACATGATTCTATGATTGTTTTTAATTTGCTCAGACTCAAAAAGTTGATGAACTACCAGCCAATTACTGGTCTATTTTTAAAAATCAACATCAGAATTGAAGTCATTAAAGCACCCCAACTTATTTAAATCTAGTAGCTATATAGAAGCCCATTTGGTAAAAAATGTATAGCCATAAGTTACGATTGGGAAGAATCCATTGTTAATAAATGATTCAACTGACTTCGAAATGGTCCATCTCAAACAGTCACCTTCAATCATTGAATAGCTTGACGATAGATAAGCTAAATATATTTATGTAATTAATCAGTTCAATAAATCCTTATCTATTAGTCGGCAGTTAGTTGAATTACTCAACGATAACCATATTCAGGTAATATTGATCTCAATATTATTTGTAATTGCAATTGGATCGGTAATTTCGCGGCTGTTTATTAACTCGCAGTTTATAGATCCATAAATCATCAAATGTTTATTTACCATATAAACTCAACCAATATCTACCTTGTATTCTGCATAGTTTGTGAACTTGTTCTTCTGATTAGGTGGATTGATAGGTCAACAATTGCTTAAAGCAATCGATAAAGCATTACTTGTTTAATCTTTTTTTAAGGTTTAAGCAGAATTTCATAAGCCAAATAGTGCTCTATCGGGGTAACAAAACTGTGATTCATCTCATTCATGTTATTGGCTATTAATTTCTCATGCAAATGCAACCATATAAACCATATACTTTTATGGATAGAAGGATTACTGGCATGACTTTTGGTATGAACTTTATGCCTGTGGTTTTGCTGAATGCCAGGCCAAATGTCATCTTTAGACGTACGGGGGGCTAGTCTAATCAACTTGAATTGGCATAGTAAAAAGGTGGGCTCTTTTCTTTGCTCTTCTGATAAAACATGGCCTCACCTCGCGCTGATCAGTTTTGCATAACACGACTGGTCGTTAGTGCTTATGCATGCATATTATGCATAGCATTATCACCTTGAGTTATGCAGGTCTATCACATGATAGTGATCAAAGGTAAATTCCGTGATCGAGATAATTCCCGATTATATCGGTCTACTGAGTGATTGAAAAGAAGCTTCCTCTTTGAAAATTGAGTAAGGTGAAAGATACTTTTCATTTCTTAATCTGTTGGAACGAAGCTTTATTTAGCATTGGAAATGTGCATAAGTATTCACCTATGCTCTAACTTGGTGGAGTGTAATTGATAGTTTATATATTTTAAATGGCAGGCTTTATGATAGTTATCATTAGCCCTTTAGCTGATTTCGGGCTTCAGAAATAGCAGTACATTTATATATTTTAAATGGCAGGCTTTATGATAGTTATCATTAGCCCTTTAGCTGATTTCGGGCTTCACAGAGAGGAGGAGGAGGAACATCAAAGTGACGAAAGTCGAGAGGAGGGGCAGAATAATGATTGACAGTTGTGAAAGAGTCAGGCAGAAAAAAGGTAAGATGGATACTGTGGAAGTGGTCGAATATGATATACAGTGAGGTGATGGTAGTTTGAAGTCAGAAGTCAATTGCCGGTTTATAGACTTTTTTGCCGTATGAATATACGTTGACCAGGGTGCACCACGTGGAGGTAAGTCTATTGAAAAACGAATGCCGAGTGATAGAATTTTTGCCGTAAGAAAGTACGTTGCCCAGGGTGCACCACGTGGAGGTAAGTCTATCGTAGTTAACTGCCAGTTAATAGACTTTTTGCCGTATGAATATAACGAAAGCCGAGTGATAGACTTTTTTGCCGTAAGAAAATACGCTGCCCAGGGTGCACCACGTGGAGGTAAGTCTATCGCACACAAACTTCCGGTTAATAGACTTTTTACCGTATGAGTATACGTTTCCCAGGGTGCACCACGTGGAGGTAAGTCTATCGCACACCCACCAGGGTGCACCACGTGGAGGTAAGTCTATCGCACACCCCGTGTAATTGATAGTTGGTTTTTGTAAGAAGGAATGCATCATGGAGCCCTCTAACTACGGGTAAATCACGTTTTACCGCCTCTTGTTGAACAAAACTAACCAGGGCGTTTAACGATATGCGCAGTGATCTTGCGGCAATTGACTTAACAGACGTTTATACTAGCTATTGAAGTCCCAGAGATTAGTCAAAATTTAGCATCGGTCGATTTAATTTTCTGTGGTACTAACCTTCCTCTGTTGGTCTAAGCTAAATGCTAGTGTTTTCATTAGATAAACTATGAATATCAATATGCTACCTCCATCTGAAAGCAGTAATAAAGTTAAAATAATAATTCTATTAATTTGCTCAAAAACGTTGGACACGATTTGAAAAATAACACTACTCATTGTTTTCTCCACGAATGAAAACACTGGAACTCAATTCACCGGTCTTCCAAATAGGTACCAGGCCACTTTAAAATTGACCAATCGATCTGGTCATCTTATGACACCATAGGAAGAGTCGCAAGGTTCAATGTTGGAAGTGCCGATATTTCTAGAGTGATGAAGTCAATTCGCGCATATCAGTATCATAATAACATTATTTTTTATCAGATTATGTTTCTCTAATGGAAAGTGGAAACGGATGTCATAATCGGATAAAATTATGACAATAGCAATTCAGCATAAGTGTATTAATGCAAAAATTGAGGAAATATCCTGAGGATCATAATTACAAAAATAAATTCTCGTGCAGATCTAGGAAGGATTTCCCACGCGTACACCTTGTGTTTGACAGAGGTGAAAGAAAATAACATCATATAGCTTCCCCGACAAACACTCGAATTCTGTCCACCATTTCATTAGCCATGCACCGATAGGCATAAGATCCATAATACGTAGCTGACAATGCAGATGAACACGTCAACCACCGTATCGCATATGCACAACGGAAAAACACCATTCTTGTGAAGTTTATCCTTCCAGTTACTGGTTGCGCACCAATCGGTATCTAATCTATGATCTCTGACACGACGGACATGCAACGTTGATACGTCATTAGTGGACATGAAATGTTCAAGATAATTCAATTCCCCACTTGGTTAGTCATTCTGGTGCAAGTTTTAAGGTTACACAGTTGTAGGACTTGAACAAGTTTTAAGGACTGTATGTTTTGATACCGAATGAATGACTAATCAGATGGGAAATGTGATGGCTCGAGACACATGGACAATCTCTTTCAAATATTTAATTTTTGGATTAATTTATTGCATTGACAATGGAGAGACCTTGTCACATTAAAATGTGCAAAACAGGAATATTTCAAAATGTACCTTGTCAATTTTTCATATTTAATCTAAGAAATGGGAATTAAAAACCAATCAAGAGAAGGCGTGGTATAGAAGCTTTATCGAGGTGAAAGTCGTTTTTTTAACATTACACGTGGATGTAAGTCTATCGCGCACCCCTTCTTAGTACTGTAGGAGCGAAGCTTTGCTTCCAATCACCCCATTTGCATTTTCCTTGCAATCTTGAATTAAATGGACTTATTAATAAACGATACTGATGTTTTAATTTCACTTCAAACGATCTTTGGGATTTGAAGGGTGCAAAAATAACTATTTGCAGTTAAAAGCAAGTTCGCTATATCAAAGGGAATAACGAAGTGGCAAACCCCTCGACTCCACAATCCTAGCACGAGTAAACTAAGCAATCACGGAGGATGAAGACGAGCGTGCAGCGAAGTATTCAGCTAATCAGCCATTATTGTTCATTCAAGTTAACTTGAAAGTACCCAATTACTAAGCATGTTTGCTGTGCGATAGACTTACCTCCACGTGGTGCACCCTGGGCAACGT